TTTTTTTTTTTTTGCTTGGGGCGTCAGAAATGCTGGAGCCGGCCCTGCCTCTGTTGTTTCATTCCTTCTCTCCTTCTGCCCCCCCCCCGCCTCCCTCCTTTCTTTCTAGTCCTCCATTCCCTCCTTCCTGCGAGCCCCGCTTTCGTCCCCTCTCCTAGCGTTTCATTCCCTCTAGTCTTCCTCTCCCTGCACCTCTCCACTGCTTCTCTCTCCGTTAATCATATCATAGAATATCAGGGTCGGAAGGGACCTCAGAAGGTTCTAGTCCAACCCCCTGCTCAAAGCAGGACCAATCCCCAGACAGATTTTTGCCCCAGATCCCTAAATGGCCCCCTCAAGGATTGAACTCACAACCCTGGGTTTAGCAGGCCAATGCTCAAACCACTGAGTTATCCGTCTTTCCTTCCCGCTTCCCCTTCCTTTGTTCATTCTCTCAGTCCCCTAGTGACCAGTCAGACCAGAACCTCCCGCAGCGGTGTCCCCAAGTAGCCAGTAGGGGGCAGTGCATCCCCCAGCAGTGCCCCCTGGTGGCCAGCCAGGCCTGGCCGTCCCCCCACAGCAGTGACCCCCAGTGGCCGGTTGGGGGCAGCGTGTCCCCACCCAGCAGTGCCCCCATGTGGCTAGTTGGAGCACATCCCCGCCAGTGATGTCCCCCGACAGCCAGCCAGGGGTGGCATGTCCCCCCGCAGTGGCTGTCCGGGTCTGGCATGCCCCCCCCAGCTGTGCCCCCCAGTGGTCAGTTGGCAGCGCATCCCCCCAACAATGTCCCCTGGCAGCCAGCCGGGCCTGGCATTCCCCCCCCAGTGGTGTCCCCCAGTGACCAGTGGGGGGCGCCCCAGTTACCGGTGGTAACGACGCCGGCAAAGACCCAGCACTGGCCGTAGAGGACGGGGTAGCCGGTGCGGTGGTACTGCCGGAGGATGTCCACGCTGCCCACCCAGGCCGAGGGGTTGGTGCCCCGCGAGTAGTCGCCCGTCCAGTTCCCCACCAGCACCCCGTTGTCGTCCAGGGAGTTCACCTGCCCCACATCGGGGGGGGGGGGGAGAGAGAGTGGTGGAGGGGGGGTAGAAAGGACGGGGGGGACTGCAGGGACAGAC